GGAAGTCAGGCAACACTTTGTCCCAGTCCCAACATGCTCTCAGGTGACCTTGACAAGGTTAGCCAAAACCCCCATTTTGGACATTTGCAAAAAATGAAGTCAAAAAATGAGGCCAGGGGGACAGCACATGCCTTGGATATGGCCAAGCCCAGCTCTAGACCCAGCATCACAGGATCCCTGCAAGCATCTCTGGGGGTGGCCCTGGAGGCTGAAAGCACCACGGGGGAGACTGATAATTCCAGCACCACATCAACTGGCTCTCACGTTGAATCACCATCCAGGTGGGCTAAGTATCACCCCAGCTGCCCACCCCCAAGCCTTTTGAGCACTGCTCGGGTAGACCAGGAGTAAGTCCCTAGCTCTACATCCTCAGGCCCAGCACCACTGAACCACCATTTTGGCTGGCCAAGTACTGTGAGAAGCCCCTAGGCTCTCTGAGCACTTTTTGGGAGTACTATAAAAAAACGAAAACTAACTCCTAGGGCCTGGATAAATGGCTGGGTGGTCATAGTCAAGTGTGTGCTTCAGCCCCGGCATCACAGCAAAGAATCGTAAGCAGCATTAAAGGGTTAAGAGTCACAATGATGAACATGATTTCAGTCATAACGTTGCAGGAAAGGGGCTGGAGCGATAGCACAGCCGTAGGGCGTTTGCCTTACAAGTGGCCAACTTGGCCGACCCGAGTTCGATTCCTCTGCCCCTCTTGGAGAGCCCGCCAAGCTACCGAGAGTATCTCACCCGCACGGCTGAGCCTGGCAAGCTACCCATGACGTATTCGATATGCCAAACACAGTAACATGTCTCATGATGGAGACGTTACTGGGCCCGCTCGAGCAAATCGATGAACAATGGGAGGACCATGACTGTGACTGTTCCAGGAAAAAATTAATACGAGCAGGGGACTGGAGCAATAACACAGCAGGTAGGGCATTTGCCTTGCATGCGGCCAACCCAGGTTAGATTCCTAGCATCCCATAGGGTCCCCCAAGCAGTGCCAGGAGTAATTCCTGAGTGCATAAGCCAGAAGTAACCCCTGTGCAATGCCGGGTGTGACCCAAAGGGCAAAATAAAATAATAGGAGCAGACTTCTGCTCTGGGCATGGTACCAGAATGCCCTCCCCCCTGCCCCCCAAGGACAGGAGAAAACTGAGTAGAATGTGATGTGAAAAGTCACTGACCTCAGGCAGTGCAGGGCCCCGTGCATGGGGGTGGGGAGATGCAGGGGAACCTTTGTTTCCTTGCTTCAAACCCTGGAATCTAATCCTAGCCCTATTCACATTCAGGGGCTGAAGGGACTAGAATCCACGAGGGGAGGAAGTTACAGGGAGAAGCCCTCAGATCCTGTGCTGAGGTTCCCAGAATGTCTGGCCAGATGCTTACCCCCAGGGACAGGGGAAATGAAACAAATGAACTAGGGGGCAGCCCCTGGAAGACTGAGGCCAGAGGCCAGAGATGGTGGGCAGGGGGATGGCTCCATGGTGATGAGCTGCTACCTGAACTGCTGCCGGCACCCCTGGTCATCACCACATGACAAGGGGAAGAGAAATATGAAGTTCTAGAACAGAAAGTCACCTCCATGCCACATGAGGATAGTCCAGTGGCACTGCAGGTTTTGAGTCACACCACATCCTCACCCTAACACCCAGTTGGCCAACGGTCCCCAGGAGTGGACGAACATGGGAGGCCCCCCAAATAAAATATGATAGAGCAAATGTGTAAACAGATAGTTTTTACTCTAGTTTCTTCTTTTTCAAAGAGAAATTAAAACTAGACCTAGGAGATGACTTATCAATTCCTCGGGCATCCTGCTGAGACACAAGAGAGTAAGGAAAGTTCTGGAGAGAGGGCACATTAGGAACCCTCCTAATTACTAAGCCAGGGCAGACTCAAGTCCCAACAAGATCCCCAGGGAAGCCAAGGGGAGACTAGGATTCCCTCAGAACCAACAGGGACCAACAAGGACCAACCCACCTGCACACAGTCAGGAAGCCAGAGAGGAAGAGTTCCCTCCACCGAGAAAGAAGACCAGGCCTCTACTCACAAACCTTCACGTGTGAATACTTACAGGCATGCTGAGAAAGAAAACCAGATGCCTGTGAAAATCAGCACAGGCAGGGCGAGATGAGTTGACCACTGAGATAAGGCTTCTACCAGAAAGTTGCAGGGGACCCCGTAACATAGCCCCAAACACCCCCGAGGTCAGTCTATCACCAGAAATACCCACTCTCGGACACGAACATGTTCATGTCTGAGGCCCAGCAGACACCCGTCAATTGCCACATGGAGGGAGGGGACACAGCTCCTCCCTTCCTGAGATACAGGCCAGGCCGACTGGGAAGGAGGTGCCAGACTCGCCGCAGCTGCAAGCCAGCAAACCTAGAGGACTTTCCTGTAGTCAGTAACTGCTTCCCGGGATGACCCCGCTCCCACTCAGAAGAAGCACAGTCTCACTGTCCTTGGGACCGCTCCACCCAGGGAACAGACACTGCGGTCAATGTGTGTATCTGAGACACTGGGTGGAGGGATTTCTGTTCCAGTGTGGCATGGCTTCTTTCTGAACTTTGATAAGAGAACTAGGAAGTTCCCGGCAGCAATTGGAATTGGGGTCTGGGTGACAGTTCCTTTCAAAGCTATTTTCTGAGGGGGAACTACCCACGGATGGGGAACTTTTGACCTGGCACTGAAGGAAAGGGGCATTCCATCCTGGTGACACCTGCCAACCAGGTGAGGGAGCCTGTTCCCCTCCCCCCATCAGCTGGAAGCTGCAAGTACGAACCTGTACAACAGGACAGCCGGACCATAACGAGGGTTTCCCTGTGGCCTCACCCCATCATGCAGTGCTGAGTGTCCTCAGAAGGCAAGTGCATGGCATGAGTAGGCCCCAAGCAAAGACCACAATGTTTTCACCGGCTGGCCTTGGGCTCCAAAGCAGGCTGTTTCCCCTCAGGATTCCCACCCAGGACAGACCAGCTGCCCGTGGTGCCTGGAGCTGTGAACACAATGGCCCTGTGTGCTCTCCTGCTCGGGGCAAGGGTACGGGGCAGCCTAGCCCTGAGCTGGAGAGGGACCAAAAGCGAGTCCACGGTGCTCAGGAGAAGGCAGCTAAGAGGAAGGGCAGGGTGTGTGAATCAGACTTCCAGACTCCAGGAAGCAGAGCCTCTTCAGAGCCATCCGAACCCCGGGACTATCTCCCCGTTCCCATGATGTCTTTGTACTGGGCCCACCCAGGAAGCGCCAAACCCCTCCTGCTAACTATTGCCCAAACCAGGGGATAGATTCCAGGGACCCCGAGGGTGGAAATACCTCTAACTACTGCACCTGCCTCTGGAGCAGAACACCCCCTCCCCCCCGCCCACACACACACACACCCTGCGAGAATAGGGAATTCTGGGCCTCTTTTCTGCCTTTGAGAGGTCATGAGGAAGGCTCAGTTTGAATCAGGGTCCTACTGTCGGGCTCAGGGGTCACCGCTAAAATGTCCTTTAGCTGCTAAAGGCCAGGAGACGGACAGGTACATCTCTGTGACACCGGCTCAGTGCAGACCCTCATGAGGTGTCTCAGACCATCCACACATCTCCTACTCCCCCATCCCAGATGCACTTGGGAACCCAGACCACCAACCTCTGCCATTATACTGCTCCTTTGTGCAGAGAAGCCCTCCTCCAGCACGCAGAGTGACAAGAGCAGAAGAAGCCGGCCCAGATCCTGGTCTGCAGTTGGAGAAGCCAAACCCCTTCTCTGTCCTGAGCTGGCGCTGCCCCCTCGCTGGTGAGAAATGACACTGGCTCAGGCCACCATGCTTAAAAAAGTAGCTATGTGGTGGAATAGAGAAGGGATCACTAAGAGGATGATGGCTGAAGGAACCGGTCAGGATGGGAGTTATGTGCAGAAAGTAGATAAAGGACCAAACATGATAACCTCTCAGTGTCTGTATTGCAAACCATAATGGCCAAAAGTAGGGAGAGAGTATGGGGAATATTGTCTGCCATGGAGGCGGGGGGGGGGGGGGGGGCGCGAAGGGTGGGAGATGGGGGGTATGCTGGGGATATTGGTGGTGGAGAATGTGCACTGGTGGAGGGATGGGTGTTTGATCACTGTGTGATTGTAACCGAAATATGAAAGCTTGTAACTATCTCATGGTGATTTAATAAATTTTTTTTAAAAGCAGCTATGTGGGCCATCCAGGGTAATTTTTTACTTTCTCTATTTTATTATTTATTTTATTTTATCTTTTTTTTTTACTTTCTCTATTTTAGAAAGCAAATTTAAGCTTTACTGTTTTAAAACAGTATCACAAGGAACACAGAATCCCCAAAACACTGGGAGAGGGGGAGGAAACTCATCCTGGTTCAGCCTCAGCATCCGTAGACCTAGGCACACATGTGTGTGTGGGGGGGGGGGGGGTGGAGGCGGGGGTTCTCACAGTCTCTTAGATACAAATTCCTTCTTGCCCTTGTGGTTCTGTGTTTGTAGTGACAGGGTTGGTAGACACAGGGCAGGACAGGGCGCTGTCCCAGGCTGGGTTTAGTCATCGTGTCCTCAGATTTGTCCCCATTCCTGATCCTGCCCTCAGCGCTCAGGGCCGGACTGTGTGACAAAGCAACAGAGGCAATTAAGGTAATTGCTGTCCCTTCCCACCTCCTCACAGCTTCCAGATGATTCTGATCTGGGCAGAATTCAAGTACCATGGCCCCAAGTCAAGAGACAGCCATTTCCAGGACATCAGCCTCCCCTGCAGCCAGGCCCCATTGTCAAGGACAATGTGGAAAGGGAATAGCACCTTTGGGTACAGGGATTGCAGAAACAGGACATTCCCCTCAGAGGCTTGAGGGCTCCCTTGAGTCCGTCTCTTGGAGAGGCCATGGTCTGGCCCCACATGGAAGCCAAGCTTTTCGCTCAGAACTCTTCTCCTCACACTGCTGTTAGACTTGGCCACAATGATGTGCCCACCATGGACACACAGAGGCCACAGGGGCCTCTCCCGAGGGGCTGCTCCTTACCGTCCAGCTCCTCCACAGAGATGTTGGCGAGCTGCTCGCTATCGCTGCCGGCAGAGAGCGACCGGTTGAGGTAATTGCCCTTGTAAAGCAGGCCCGCGGTCACGTGGTGGAAGGGCATCTTCTCCCTGTGTGCAGAGACAAGAGGGAGGGAGAGACAGACGTCAGCATGCCTTCCTCTTCCCCTCCCTGAAAGGACCACCCCACTTCAGATGGCCACCGGCTGTTTTAAAGCACATGCCCAAAGGGAAAGTCAGGAAATTCAGGGTCCCCTAGGTCTGCATGGCCCTCAGAGATCTCGGACACTCCCTCCTCCCCTTCACTTTATGCTTCATCCCAGTCCATTACGCATTGGGACCGTATTGTCCCTGCAGAGGCACCCAGTGTCACACCCAACTGCCTCTCCACATAGACAAGAATGCCCTTTGCAGGGCTGGAGTGATAGCACAGTGGATAGGGTGTTTGCCTTGCACACGGCTGACCCCAGGTTCGAGTCCCAGCATCCCATATGGTCCTCCAAGCACCGCCAGGAATGATTCCTGAGTGCATGAGCCAGGAGTAACCCCTGAGCCTCACCAGGTGGGATCCCCTCCCCCCCAAAAAAGCAAAATAAAATAAAATAATGCCTTTTTCTCCCTTCCTTGGCTGGATGTTCCTCCCCAGATCTCTCTGGAAGGGCCCCTGTGTCCAGCCAGGCTGGGCTGCCCAGGGACTGGACACCTTGGCTGCCATGTCTTCGCTGCAATGTGCCAAGACCCAAGAGTTCACGTCCCCCAGGCTCAGCACTCACAAGGGGAGGGAGTGTAGCCTTGAGGAGGGGCATGGACGGGGACATACATGTGTCTGCCTGCACTCACAGCCAGTCCCCCCGGCACTCTCATGCCTAACCTGTGACCGAGCAAAACTCCTTCAGGCCAGCCCCAGAAGTGTAAGGTCCTCTGCCAAGATGGCCAGCACAGGCATGGCCCAGCTGCAGGCAGGGGAAGGAATGGGCACGCAAGGAAGGAGAAAAAGGCAGCAGCTGGAGAGGGGGTGCTCCGTGATGAGTGGACACTGAGCAGATCACTGGGCATTTGCCCATCTGCTTCCACAAGGGAAGAGGTGGCATCACCAGCTTCTGGGCAGGATAAAGGACTAGGTGGGGACTCTGGGTTCAATTATAGAGTTGGGTGAAGACCATCTTTACATAGAACCCTTCTAGCTGAACTGGGTGGGGTGCGTGGGGATGTCCCTGCTAGTATGGTATGCAGGCTTGGGGTCCCTGCCAGGGTCTTGTGGGACCATGGTGAATCCACACTCCCCTCAACACTGAGCTGGAATCTCCTGTGTAACACGCTGTAAGCTGCAGGGAAATTGAGACCCCACTCCCCGCCCCCCTTCCCTCTCAAACCAAGCTGTTCTGGAAATCTACTTAAGAGGAAACTAGTAGGCAGTCCCTCAAGGGGACAGAGGTGACAGGCCCACAGGACGCCCACCCCACCCTTGCCACATGCCCCGATCTAGAACACGCCACAGCTGCTTACTGAGAGGTCAACCCAGGAGATGCCCAAGAGTCAGCGGGCTCGAGAGAGGGTCAGTCCCACAGTGTCAGCTCGCCACAGCCACCGCCACAAAGCAGCCTCCGCTAAGCACCCGGCACTTCCACCCGGATATCAAACTCTCGCTTCAAACTCAAGATGTCTAAAAATGAATTCATTATCGTCCCCGAAAAATAGGCCATACTTCCTGATTTCTCTATTTCTATCAAAGGTACTTTTCACTCATGCTAACAACTGGGACAGCGCTCACAAATGGGCCCTGAAAGGGAAGCTGACACTTGCCAAGCAAGAGCCATCAGCCTCCCCACCCCCAGGACGCATGGGCCAGAGCTGTCCCAGAGCCGTCCCAGTCGACTCAATGGACCTGCACTGGCCCATCGCAGGACATAGTGCTACCTCCAAAGAGCACCCACGGGGCTGGAGTGACAGCATAGCGGGTACGGCATTTGCCTTCCACATGGCTGACCCAGGTTCGATTCCCAGCATCCCATATGGTCCCCCAAGCACCACCAGGAGTGATTCCTGAGTGCAGAGCAGGAGTAAACCCTGAGCATCGCCGGGTGTGACCAAAAAGGAAATAAATAAATAAATAAATAAATAAATAAATAAAGCACCCGCTACTCCCACTCAAGGATCCATTCATTCTCCACCAGGATGAATCTACCTCCACCCCCACCCCATGGTTCCTTCCACTTAACCAGAACACAAGCTATTTCTCTGAAAACACCCACCTCTTACCATCTCCTTTTTGCTCTGAGATTTTCTCATCTCTCAGGCCAGTTTTGAAAGTTAACATTTGGACCGACACCTCCCTTGTGTGAAGCCATCCTGATTTGGAAAGCTTCAAGACCTTCTTCCTGCCTGCAGCTGAGCCTGCTGGGCCGAGCTGGGACCTCAGTGCCTCTGCAGGGCCTTAGACTTCTGGGGCTGGGTTGAAGGAGCTTTGCTTTTTTCCCAGAGGGCTTGCGCAGCTTCTCTGGGTACAGAGAGGTATCCTCACTCTGTAGCAGGTCTGAGCAGCCCAGTCAGCCTCACCTGCTTGCCCTAAACATCCTTCCTGAAGTCGTTCCAGAGGAGACACACATCACAATGTGGCCTAGTTGGGGAGCCCCATCAGGTGGTAAAAATGCTGGTGCAGCCCTTCCCACTTTGCCACTCATGGTGGAGTTTTCAGATTTTGTAAATATCTCACCATTCCTTATCACCTTTACCCTGGGGCTCTGACTTCCGGAACACACATTTTCACGGCTGGAGTTACGAGGTTATCCTCCTACCCCAGCTACTCGCTAGCTCAGCCATGGAATGTTAAATACTCTGCAGGGAAAGCTAGTCACAAATGAATCCCACTCGACAGACCAACATAATTTGCTTCTGAAAAAAGCAGCTTACAAAATTAGGTACACATTCAGTTCATCCAGTTTCTGCACCCAAAATGCTCCAAGTCTAGTGGGAGAGAAAACATGTGCAATTGAACCATCCATATAGATAAATAAAGTCATATTCAGGAAAGGAAGAGCATTATCACAAGTAAGCTAAAAACAGCTGCTGCAATTAAGGACTACATTTCACTCCAAGCCACATGGGGAAACCCAAGCTTTAAGCATCTCTTTTTGGCTCAGGGATGAAAACATGCAAGTTTGATGGCAAAGACAGAACAGTTCTAAACTAAAACTTAGAGATGGAGCCTTATAGGGAGGGAAATGAACAAAAACCATCTATGTGAGAATTTTCAAGGGCTACATTTCTCATTGAGAAATACTAGTTAAGGGATTGTTAATCTTATATGTTGTTTTATGGTTAAGATTCAGAACCATCTGGTTTAAAACCATGCTAGCTTTAAATCCTAGTTCTGCCCTTATTTACCTTGTAAGTTACAACTCCCCAAGACTCCATCTCCTCTTCTATAAAACTGGGCTTTTGATAGACACTGAGTAGTATTTCCATACATAGAAGAGAATATCTGAGAAGTACTGGACATGGTGTGACTCACATCCTGAGTAAGTATCAGTATTTGCAAGATATAGGGCAAACCAGGTCCTGAACGGATTCAGTAGGAGATACACCAGCCAGAACTCAAGTGAGGGTCGCAAGGATCTGGAGGAGGGTAGGCTTCAGAGGGGAGCTGACTAGCTTTGCACACCACTTGTGCTAAGGGTTCCTAAGATGAGATGACATGAGATGGTGAATGGCATAAGCAGGCAGTTGGTTGTATCAGAAAGAAGGAGCTATTAGATAGGGTAGCACCAGAGCTGAAGAAGATTCAATGGGGGCTGGAGAGAGAGTACAGCAGGTAGGGCTTTTACACTGCATGCAGCTGGGTTTGGTCCCTGGTATCCCATATGGTCCCCAAACACCACCAGGAGTAATTCCTGAGTGCAGAACCAGGAGTAACCCCTAAGCATCACTAGATATATTCCCCACCCCCACCCCCCACAAAATGTCTACTTCCAGGGAGACTAGCTCATGGTTCACATCAAGGACAAGGTGTCAAGGGTTAAAAATAGAAGGGGTGCTTCCTATTTTCAAGGTCAAGGATCTAGAACATGCCTTGGTGGAGTAACAGATTTGAGTCTTCTCATGCTTACTTTAAGATAATGCCTAACTGGGAAGGTTCTGTTATGTACCAACCTGACTGGGCCCCAGGTCTGAACCCACTCGTTATTCTGGTGCACCTGTGAAGGTGTTTCTAAACGAAATCAGACAGAATCAAGCAGACTCAGCATGGACCACTTCCCAGCCAGTGGGAGCCTGAACAGAGCAGAGCAAAGCCATTCTCTCTGCTGACGGCTTGAGGGGCGACATCAGTCTTTTCCTGCCTTTGTCTCTAGTCTCAGCCCGGGGCTAACACAATCAGCTCCGCTGACTCTCCAACTTGCTGCTACTGACTAGGGGACTTCTCAGCCCCCAAACCATGAGACAATTCCTTATAATAAACCCTTTCTCTACATCCACACACATAGTTTTCTCTGAATAATGCACAAAACATCCCCTTATCTCTCTTCTGTAGCACCAAAAACACAAGCACATTAATGTAGGCTCATATTATTATTAGGGCTGGAGCGACAGCACAGCGGGTAGGGCGTTCGCCTTACAAGCGGCCAACATGGCCGACCCGAGTTCGATTCCTCCGCCCCTCTCGGAGAGCCCGGCAAGCTACCGAGAGTATCTTGCCCGCACGGCAGAGCCTGGCAAGCTCCCCGTGACGTATTCGATATGCCAAACACAGTAACAACAAAGTCTCCAATGGAGACGTTACTGGGCCCGCTTGAGCAAATCGACGATCAACGGGAGGGCCTTTACCTTTACCCTTTACCATATTATTATTATGGAAAAAGAATGTGCCAGAACATAATTACAAAGGGCCTCAGAAGCAGTGTGACTGAGCGAGTGATTTGTGATTTGAACACCATTTCTTGCTGGTGTGCAACAAGATAAGGACAGGACCTGAGAAAAAGCCCTGGCATTTTATAGCAATTTATGGCATGATACTAACCTCTTTTCATGTGACTAGTCTACTTGATTTTTTTTACATTTTGCTTTTCTATTTTTCCAGTAATTCATTTTTATTTAAACGAATATAAATATT